AATTATTGTTTCTTTAAGCTCCTATGCTCAGCAACAGTATATGATGTATTAAAAAAATATTCCTTGCTTTATTTTAATCTTAACAATTTACTTCATATATCCTTCTCTTTATATTTCTCTACCATTCTACATGTCCTAATTACAAACAATGGTGATAATGAAATGCATGATTAAAGGTTTTTTTGTGTGTGTGGAAGTAAACAGATTGTGTCTATATGATAATTTGCATTATATAATTTCTTTTAACGTTTTTTTTCTAAAAAGAAGTTTAATTACAGAGCTAATAATAACCATGAGAAAATTACAAAAAAGGAAAGAATTTCAGAAAGAAATTAGTTCATCTATGGAAATTAAGGAACATTGGTAGAATTTTGAAAAAAAGGAAGGTAAATGACCATTGGAAATATTCAATTTGCTTCTATTGAAAATGACGTAATCATCTCATTTTGTTTATAACCGTCTAGATAATTGAAATTCTCGATTATTATTATTATTTCTTTTCCTAATAAATTTACTTGTTTTCGATATCTTTCTTGTCTGTTTTAAAATGTCATATGCATCATTTGTTATCCGTTATTTAGTTAATTTAATCTCATTTCAGTGTAATTTGCTTCGTGAATTGTTTTTATTCTGTCTTGGAATTTCAACTTGATGTAATAATTGTACATCTAGGTGGAATGAATTTTTATTTCAAATATTAAAATCAATTCTAGATCATTTAGATGAAGTTTCGTTCTCTGATCTAGATGGTTTGGTCGAGGAGGTTTTATTGTTTTTCTGAACAATATCATCATTTTTTATAGACAATTGTAGGACCAAGAATCAAATCAGTGAGAGATACAATCGAAATATAGAAATAGGTAATGAGAAGTTAAAGGTCGACAATAATTAATCAAGATCGAGGTCTACAGGGCAAGCTGTGAGTCACATGTTGAGAAATTCGAACACTTCATTTCTACCTGAAGTTTGTGGTGATGATGTTGTTTAGAAGAATAATAAAAGCAACTCGGCCATACCATCCAGCTCAGAGTACAAAACTCTTAATAAATCGGCCACCTGAGCTACAGAACTTCTCCACCATCTGAACTCCAGGTCAGTTATTGTAGATGTTGCCTGTAGCGTACTATGAACATTTTCGTCCGAACTCAGAAATGAATAAGTTTGATATTTTGTTTTGAAAATTTATTAAAAAATAATAATTAACAAAGCCATGAAATTTTAATTTTCCACTGTGTCCTATTCATAAACAGTTAATGTGTAAATGAATGGAGATAAATTGTATAAACTTTGATATAACACGGTAGTAAGTTTGTAGAGCCACACATACTTATTATCATTTTTTTATGTTCTCTTCTTATCTACACATTTATAAACAACCAATGCATTACATTCGGTTTTTAAGTAACGTACATATTACACAAAAAGAGAGTGTTGTTGCAGATTGAGTTTATGGGACGATCTAATAATTTCAACCTTTCTATCCAACCAAGCCCCGATAAGTCAAGTGATGGCTATTCTGTCAAAAATATTACTTCATTCTCCGTAAGCTCTTCGAATGTGATTTCACAGTGAACCGGCAATGTTTAGAAATCCCCCAGATGCGCTGTGTGCTGATTGATAAGTTGAATGTATTCTCGGCCTCCCAATTTTCTTCCAAGTCCTCCTGCTTATAAGCGTTATATCGGAGGCTGTGTCTAGCTGTAAGCGAGCATCGTACCCGTTAATCTTGAGGGAAACATACTTTCCGTGATTATGAGAGCCGATTCTGTTAGCAGCTACCGTCACTTTGGCTGTACGCGGCCTGAATCTTTTAGAATAAACTTTAGGTTGACGGCGTTTTCGGGTTTTTCAATGACTTTCTTTGTGTCCTTTCCTGGAACACGTAGTACAACGATGACTTTTAAACGGACAAAACCTTTTGAAATGCCAACCTCCACATAATCAGCATGGGGATGATGGTTTGTCGCTGTCATTTCGATAATTCTGTATGCTGGAACCTTGTAAGACTTTTCTCTCAACAGCATTAACGTGGATATACTGGTTAGCGTTTTCTATCATCGAGGTATCATGCTTCAAATTCACTAACCTTTGACATTCAGTAGTCACTTCCTGCAGGGTCATGTTGGGACAATGTTCAAGTTTACTTGGGATTCTCGTTCGGATGTCAGCATCCTCAGGTGAACGCAGGCTACAGACAAATACTAGGCGTTTGAACTGGTCTTCAGTCATGGAAGACAACTTGAACCTCTCGCATTCTCGGTTCACAATACCTGCATGTTTCACCCAGTCATCTCCTGATTCTTTCGTTATCTTCAAGCACCGGTAACGGATATTAAATAGAGACGACTGTTCTCCAAAGATTTGAGACAGGGTTTGAATTGTTTCATCAAAACTAAAGTCTCGTGGGTTCTTCGGAAGAATAAAGTTTCTATAGCGTTCATGTTCTGTTGTCCCAAGCTTTCTTAGAAGTATTCTGACTTTTGAAGCGTCATCGAGTCTGCAGAGATCAATACGGAACAAATCTTCATACCTGTTAAACCAAGAGTCAAAAGTAACACCTGCTGCACCATCAAAATTAAATTCATGGATTGCATTAATAACTGAATCAGTATGAGATACTTGTAATTCAGCAGAAGCAGAGTTTTGTTGGAACATTCATAATTTCTGCATAAGAGCTTCCATGATTCTGATTTGAGACTGTTCAAACCTCTTTTCTTAACACTCCATATAAGTTTCTAGTTGCTCCAAAGAAATACTCACTGAAGTTTTTCCCGTCGCCACTGATACGTCTTGGTTATTGTCATTTTTCTCCGTCGCAACTGATACGTCTTGTTGGTTGAACTCTATTATTCGGATCGTAAGCTACTTTTGTAACCCTTAAGCTAGAACTACACAGCGACTTGAACACGAGAGAAAAGGCACAAATATGCGAGAAGCACTTCACTTCAAAAGGTTCGTTTGATGTACAGAAAATATAGGACTTTTATAGTATTTTAAAGTCCTTGCGTTTTACTGAAAATTCCAGAATAATGCTAAACATAGTAGCAGTGAATTAATCAGCCAATCAGAATCTCTACATGTGATTTTTCATTTTTGCTATGTTTCTAGCAAAACTAATAATCAAACGCTGATTGGATGTAGTGCTCCTTAATGTTCCATGAGCTTGTCATGTCGATTGCGAGAAATTTGCATGATCATCCCAACAGAATACAACATTGACTTTTCCATGTTATCAGTACAGAGTTATAAAGATTGCTGAGTTTTGATTGAGGTCAGGAATCAATTAGTGTTCGTCCACCGTTGAAAACCGGGGAGCACTCGATGGCCATTTCGTCAAAGTATAGGACTCCTCAGCAGTGTAGATCCTCGATCCTGCACGAGGGACTCGAAATCAGGACCTTCGTTTTCGCGCGCGATCGCTTAAACTTTGGACCACTGAGCCAGCATCCAACAGTGTTAATATCTAACGTCAACCAATCCACGGTATTGCGCAACCATCTTCTATTGTCTTCGATGGATAACAGTCTCACATTCGACATAGATTGGTTTCCATTGGTCACGGTTTCTTACTAGAACTTCGTGATTTTCCTTTCGAAGTTAGTATCTGTTAACTGTTTACATTGTCGCCAGATAAATAAATTCACAACAAGGAGTTAAAAAAAATGAGTATTTGAGTAGCAAATAACATGCATATAACCGAGTAATGATATATGGAATAAATAAGATAACAGCATTCATCCTGTTCATATAAAAAGCTACCTTGAGCATAATAAATTGAGTATTAACTTTTAAAGTTACATTTATCTTCAAGTCTCATTACCAAAAGGGATTACCTGCATAAAGTCACTAATAAACTTATCCATAGTTGTTTACATACGGTTTTAAGAACAAAACTCCATTAATTTTCAGAAGTCTACTATCAGCTTAGTATCACTATTCAAATGGCTGTTTTATTGTGTCTATCATAAAATGAGATTAAGTTTGAATTTTTTAAAAATTATAGTGACTCTGTTTTTCAGGGTAAATCTATTCTTCTTGTTGTATATTTGTACTTCAACCAACAATTGCCTACTGTTTCCATTCAAGTAGATTAATATTAACTAGTACAAACGTTAAAATCATTCACTTATATCAATTTCTTTTATATCATATGATTGACTGTAGTTGCAGTGTTATAGGCGCAACTGCTTATATTTAGAGCTATCTCTATTAGTCGTCCAAATTCGAACAGATGTAATTTAGACATTACATAGATAATCATGCTACTAATAAAACTATTATGAAAATAAACTTCTTCATCGTTTGTAATAAATGAAAAACCTTGAAGATCCTTTTTTCATTTTGTTCATATTTTGAATATTTCTTATCAAACAGCACTTTAAGCTCGATACAAATTGTTATATCCTAGTGAAGACATAAGTACAGGTAAATTGTGGGACCTATTAATCGAATATTATATATATATTCCTATTGTACAACTGTTCAGTAACTAGATTATGTATATCTATATTTCTTTTATCATAAGCTTCATTTTGACCCATAAATTATTATTATACGGTTTAATGTTTCCAATTTATGTTCAGTTTATTAATTGCCGTCTCCCACGTTCACAACCACATTTGGCTTGATCTTGTACAAATATTATTTTCTATTTTATGGTGTGATGCGGTCTGTCTGTCTGGTATATAAACCAAGTATGTTTGAAATAAATGATTCGCATAGCAGAAGCCGTAATTGGTGTTCTGGACTCAATTCGAAGGGCTAGGCAGACAAAGGACCAATAAGGACACTGCTAGGCTGCTCATACCTGTCGAACGTCATTGGTTTGGCACAGTGTTAAGAATGGATAAATTGTATTTCGATTGGTGGATAATTCACGTGATAATAAGCTGAACACAAATAAACTATATTTTTACATACATATATATTTGTACACATAGTATAACATGAGTTAAAATGATCTCTTATTTAAGAAAATATTATTTAAGTCTTTATTTCAATTAAATATAATTTGTTACAGTAACTTGAAATGCTTTTAATTTTGTAATAAGTTGACGGATTGTTGGTCGAGCAGAAGGATTTGTTTTCCAGCATGCAAATATAATTTTCCATCTATTTAATAAAAATGAAAGTAAATAGATGTTCACTAAGTGGATAGTAAGATATGGAGATTAAAATATTGAGAAGTAAAATTGAATTAATCCAATAAATCTCATTCACATTTGGGGTGAAGTTTTAAGAGAATTTTAGCACTGTTTTTACTTAAATACAATAGTGAAAAGTGTTACTTATTAAATAACATCCTACTTTGATTACGGCTCTGATTGTTACTTACTTACTTATGCCTTTTACCCCTCGTGGAGGAGCATAGAACGCAAATCGACATTCTCCATCCAACCCTGTCCTCGGCAATCCTTTCCACTTCTTTCCAGTTAAAATTCATCCTCTTTATATATACTTTCATTTCTCGATCCAGTGTGTTCTTCCGCCTTCCTCTTTTCTGTTTCCCTTCAGGATTCCAAGTTAGGGCTTGTCTTGTGATGCAATTTAGTGATTTCCTCAATGTACGTCTTTTCCTAATTTCCTCTCCAGCTGGAAGCTGGTTTGCCCTCTCCCATAAAACGCTGTCGCTGATAGTATCCGGCCAGTGAATGTTGAGTATTTTGCGTAAACAACTGTTTATAATTACTTGTACCTTCTTGACGATGGATGTAGTAGTTCTCCACGTTTCAGCTCCGTACAGTAGAACTGTCTTGACATTCGTATTAAAGATTCTCAATTTGAAGTTAGTTGAGAGTTGTTTTGAGTTCCATATGTTCTTCAACTGTAAAAAATGCGGTCTTTGCTTTGCCAATCCTCGCCTTTACATCTGCATCCGATCCTCCTTGTTCATCAATGATGTTTCCCAGGTACGTGAATGTTTTCACATGTCTCAAAGTTTCACTATCAAGTGTGACTGGGTTTTTGTTTTCCGTGTTGTATTTGAAAATCTTGTTTTTTCTCTGATTAATACCCTCTACAAAATGAAAAGTTGTGTTCTGTATTGTTTATAGTATATTTGTTTACATTATTATCGGTGATTAACTTTTCAACTTTGTGTAATAAAGTTTTTTTAATAAACAAAAAGTTAATGATCAAAAATACTTGAAATTAACCAGTTTACAAAATTTGAATAATAAGTATAGTTGGAACTTCAAGAAAGTACCATTTACTATAATTAAAAGGATAGATTTAAGCAAAAAGAATATGTACCTTTTAATAACAATACATATAATGATAGAAAGTTTTAGATCTAAATGTAAAAAATCTAGATGAAAACAATGACATTTAGAGAGGGTAAAAAATTTATGACAGAGCAGATGGATACCAATAATCATTAAATTAAATCTCATCATCTACAGAACTACGTCTCATAAACACAAGACTTAATGTCATTTTTATTCAGATTTTACCTCTTTCAACGGAAAAGTTTACTAAAAAAGTAACACAATAACTACAGATCACAAAATGAACTAGAAAAATATATTATATTTATCTACTTATGAAAGCCTTTAAATTGATACCTTGGTATACTTGGCTTAACCTGAATAACTACTGGAACGTAAATATTGATAAGCTATATTTGGTCAATAAAATAACATATGTTATCTATGTACCGGTTTTCGGAATCTTTTATAAGCAATTTTCAACTAATTGATTAACTTTTAAGATATTCATTACACTAACAGCTGTGCCAGTTTCCTAAGAAGTAAGATATCTCATGAGTGTAAGATGGACGATTTTGCTTAGTATAGAAAATATTAAAGTATTATAGTTTAGTTCATTTTATGTACAAAATGGTAAATAGCTATATAGTTGAAACATAAAATTTCATTTTGGTTCGCTTCAATTTCGTTTCACAATGTATAATAATCTAATTTAATATTTTTAAATAAAGAATGGTCTTATATATGAACTATCATTGTTGCCATGGCAACTAAAAATATTTCAGTGAAGAATATATATTTTATTCTGTGAAATAATTTGTCAATATCGAATATCATTTTATGATCAATAATAAAAAAATAACCGTTTTGAAGCAAACTTCAACTGTGATCTTATAATCATTATATGAATATCCTTTTTATGTATACAGAGATAATGTCATTTGGCTATTGGGTAAGTGGTGAATTAATCATTGGAATGTGATTACATAATTATGTAATCTTACATTTAGTTATTATCAGATTTATGAACGGAATTCAATCAGTCAAAAAAGACGATAGTCAATATATATTAATATGTTTCTAAAAATGTAATGCTTTTTGTATACTGTAAAGTGCTAATTGTCGATGTATACTACATATTGTTTGCTTTTCAAACATATTGTTTATAACATTCATAATATATGTTGTCTCAAATGCTGAAGCTTATTAAACGCATTTTCTTAAGCGTTACTGTAAGTTCCCATAATCTTTAGCTTGAAATAGGTCAAACTCATGCATCTTGAAAATATTCTTACAATTGCTAAATGGGAAATAACAACAACACGAACTAAGTTATTATCAATAAAATTTGAACAAACAAAGGTAGAACTCACAAGTCATCTGGACAGTTATGAGGTTTTTTCAGTCTGTATCCGGTTCGTAGTACCGCTGTCATTTCAAATGCATCTATACTGGCATAAGGTTGTTGACCTCTGGTAACAAGCTCCCATAATGTTATTCCAACAGACCAAACATCTGTTGCCATAGTATATTTTCTTTCGATCAACGCTTCCAATGCTAGCCACTTCACTGGGCGATTTGTATTGTCGCCTAAGCAATGGTAATCTTCAGGAAATAGATCTCTACTGAGTGCCGAGTCACTTAAAGCTACACGTGTTCTACATTTTAATCTTATAAAAGAAAAGATTGTAAAGATCGGGAACGGAATTAGCTGGAGAAAAAGAAGTCTGAATAGTTTTAACTTAAACGAAACATTATCTTCCGCCCTTGTTACTGACTGCTTTCAGTAAAATTATCAAATCAATCATGTTTTTTTTAAATTTTTATCCCTAAAAAGCTTTATTTTTATGAATATCCTGAAATTCAACATCTATCAGCATAAATTTCAAACCTTGTAAATCCGCCTTTTGAATAAATCATCGAATATGTAATTTAATCTAATAATTGTAAATTAGCCTGAAACATCAGTTGAAATTTCATGAAAACTCTAAGTATCTGTGTAATTTGACATAAAAAGGTTGAACCATTTTAAAATCTTTATGTTTTTTACATCTAAACAATGTAATACTTATCACCTTAACAACTTCTGTTCACTGGTAGGATTTTAAATGCATACTAAAAAAATAATCGATGGCAATCACATTGGTTCTGAGCCAAAATTTTAGTCCTACGGTTTGCTCGTCCGTTACGTGTTTCAACGTAGTACAATATATTCATCTTATACTCTGAAGTTTGGTTCAAATACGCGACTCAGTTATGTAGTGATAGCTGATTTTATGTAGATTTATTATTAATGCTGAATGAACTGCTCCGAATGATTTACAGGATGACCGCCTAACTATTTAAATCAGCACCATACATCCATTTATTAGTATGTTAATCGAATAAAAGTAATCTGGATAAAACTCTTAACTTAGACTTTGTTACAGCTGACACATTTGAGTGTGTCTGAAAACCTGTGTATAAAAATATTCTCCTGATTTCAACAGGTAACTCTTTGCAGTGTGATCACTGACGTTACAATTAAGTGACTTGGGTTATCAACCACCTCCTGTGATAATAAAGTGTTTGCCATCAACCAAAAACTCCCACAAAATGTCGATTACAAAACAGGTAGCTCGGTCGTAGTGATACAGATTATGAAAATGAGTGACACGGAGTTCAGTCATCGAAGAAACATTACTTAGTTCAACAGTGCAAGTTAGCATTCCAAGGGATCTTTAGCTGGCATGAAACTTATGTTCAAAACTTCTTGATAATTGTCAACAAATAACTACTTTTTACCGAAGCCATTTCAAAGACTCGTGAATTCAGTAAGAAAATTAAAATACTTACAGACAGTTTCGTGTTGCAATATCTTGATGAATCACGTTTATACTGTGCAAATAATCTGCTGCACTAAGAATTTGTAAAGCCATACTGATAAGCTGAGCTGCAGTAAGTATCTGAGAATATCATACAAATAAGTATTTAAGACATTATTATAATATTTACTATCAAATTATAAATAATAACCAATCCTAGTTACTGATAAATAAAATGCACTTTGTTAGTTTTTTTTTGGTAATTCAATCTTCAATCCATTTTTTCTCGAAAAGTAGATGATCAGAAAGTATGGTGTTTACTAAACAATGATAATAATATATAGTTGAGATCGTGAGTCAATCTAGACAACCATGGAAAACCTAAAGGCACTGAACAATCGTTTCGTTCTATTGCAGGACTCCTCAGCAGTGCGCATCCACAATCCCACCGCGCGAGATTCGAACCCAGGACCCGTCAGTCTCGTACGCGAGCGCTTAACCAATAGACTCCTGAGCCGGCATCCAACGGTGTTAGAGTCTAACTTCAACCAATCCCACAATAGAACGAAACGGCCGTTCAGTATTTCCAGGTTTTCCATGGTGATCTAGCTTCAATTGGCTCACGATCTCAACTATATAAAATTACTGAAATCTCCACAAAACCCCTTCTGATAATGATTATAATAACTATTATATTTGCAGTAAAAATTGAATTTCAAAGGGTAAATCTTTCTTTTTATGAAACATACAGTAGAAAGCACTTTTGCTGATATATAAATGTTAAATCAGTATCTCGTCAAGTGAAACTACGCAAAATTAGGAAATAAAGTCCACTATTCCTGTTACCTTCTGAAATAATTAATCAACTTAGTTTGAGAATATCTTTTGTTTCAGTTTAACTCCTCATTTGTTTTGCCTGTATTATATAACCGTGTAACATTTTTTTATTTAAGCAACTAACATAAACAAACTTTGTTTAACTGGAAAGGATCATAAGCGAGGTTTTTTTCAAAATAGTATGAATTGGTCATATTTAATTAGGGTTGTTGTCAGTTTCTTGCAACCTGTAGTGTTTTAAAAACAAACGTTTTCTTACGTGGATTGAAAATATTTATATAAATAAACTCAATTTGAAGTTGTTGTGAGTATATCTCAGTACACCATATTTTAAACACCTAGGGTATACGAAAAGACATTCTGGAACACTGATAGTGATTAAAGATTAAAGGTCTAGAAGCAGTTGGACACGTAAACGGCATTGATAAATAAGAATAAAATGATTAATAACCCAACTAATTGGAAATAACATTATTAAACTAGAATAGAACCGAAAAACTGAAGCAACGAATTAATCACATAAGAAAAAACCAAAAACTTATTGGTCATGCAATGAAACAATGTTCATGTTTCTGGAGCAAACAAGGAGTGATATCACTCTCTTTTTAAACGCATAAATCATATTTCTAATGTCTGATAGAAATAGGTTTAGCAAACTAATCGTTTTGAGACACTTCAATGAATAAACCTGAGTTATTTTTACATAATTCCCTATGATTTTAAAACACTACAGATTATCAGCAACAAACTAAAACCTAGCTAAACAAAACGAATCTACGTTACCCTGCTAAAATCATTGTTCTTGCCTTATGCAATTAACTGGAATATAAAGAAGTAATATTTAGGTCAAATGTAGTCCAACGTTTTGTTGTCCTCAATAATTCGATCTAGTTTTTTTTTGTTTTAAAAAAGTAAGGTTAACATTGATTCTTATGATAAACAAAGTTGATTTCAGAGTTAAATACTAATTACTCATTTTCTAAAATCCCTAATTTTATTGACGATGATACTACCTCATGCTGCTTGAGGAATCATGTTCGACAGTGCCATTCATATAAACTTGATTGAAATAGAATCTCCGAAAAAATTATTTTCAATGCATTAATATTGTGGTGTGGGTTACTTATATTCACATAAATAGTATAAGGTGATGCTCAGACATAAAATGTATTTTGACAGAAAATCGATAAGGAAAGAACAGGAATGAAGCACAATCAGTATGAAAATGCATGAACAATCAAATCAGAGAAGATGAACTGATATTTGCAGAAGGAACAGTCAAGATTCAGACAATTGAATGTAATTTTGCAAATTAACTGTTTACTGTATGGTTATCAGATTTTAGTGAGATAGTTTGTGGTTTGTACTTAAATATACTTGGTTGTCCTCACCCGTGTTCTTGTTCACTACAATACCATATGATATTACATGAAATATATATATGATAAAAATTAGATTTCTATTAACATCATGTTCTTAACCAAGATGGTCTATTGTTTATCATAATGATGATACATTTAAGGTTAAAATTGAACTTGTTTTACATGAGCTACCTGTTTTCTTTAGATAAACTGTTGATGTTTACTTGGAACGAATATAATAAAAGCTTCTTTAAAATACTCATCCTCTTGAATTACGGAGATGTAGTTTGTTGTAATTATCAAAACAAATTTTCAAGTATCATTTACTTACATGCAAATGTATAAAAGAAATACGTCCACATGTTGAATTCATGAGTCTATTTAAGCAAGAATAGCATGAAAAACCTGGAAGCACTGGACGGCCGTTTCGTCCTAGTATTGAACTCCTCAATAGTGTTCATCCGCTATCCCGCACATGGGACTCAAACTCAGGACCTTCAGTCTAGCTTGAATTGACTTATGAATTCAGTTATTAAACTTCTATAATTTACTTGTGACAAGTACTTTGTACAGTTATATTCAATAATTATGAAGTATATACCCAAAAGCATGGTATGTTAATGGAAAATCTAATTTATAGAGAGAAATTTGTTTATCTTTTACACTCAATCCTTAAAAATATTTTACTTAATTAGACTGGTTAGTAAATTTGTTCAGTTTCGTATTAAAAATTACAAATGACTACTTACCGTATTTGGTCTCGTGTTTCCATCCTGCATTCCATTTGATCGCCTTTGCAGGAACAATTTTAAATTTCCATATTTGGCGTTCGAATAAATAAGAATCGGTTGACTGATTATTTGTTGATTAGATAGGGAACTTACACAAACGGACGTACTTGAAGCTGCAATGATGGAAGCTATATGTGAATGTTTCGCCCCAACAAATTTACATGTATCATTTTTGAAAAGTCTTACTTGTTCTGCTGTGGCTTTTTCTGTTTGATTATTGTTAGACACCATGATATATTTATAGAGAGAAAATAAATTAAATACAGATTACTAATAAAGCAAATAAAATATTCTTCATCATTAAGTGTATATGAACATACAGAAAAAATAGGGACTGATGCGTTTATCCACAGAAGTTCAGTTTATCCTACACCGCACTTCAAAATAAAATCAAAGAACTCACTACATAGTAAAATTTGTCTAACGTTCGATACTCTTCTTATTACATCATAATCTTGTGAATTACTACTTGTAGAGAATGTGGAAGAAAATCATAGTTATTTAAAGCAATTAATCCCTTTGATAAATTTCGATAGTGTAATAAGAAGATGAAGATTATCAGAACTATGTGATATATTAGCGCAATACATTTCGATAGATGGAAAGTTCATGGCACAGTGAGACCTACTATAGACTTGGTGGAAAAAAAGCCTATCTACGTCACCTTACCATTTAGAGGTGATTCAAATAACCTTTTGTTGAAACAAAGGCTTAAATCTGTTATCAACAAAACGTATTGTGCAGCGAAGATCATTATCAAAGAAAGAACGAGGTCCATGCTTTATTCAAAACCTAAAAGACATGAAAACGATTGTGTCACATCCCACTGCGTTTACCAATTTAAATGTGTGTGTGGCCACACATACATAGGGAGGAGTAATCGTGATCTGAAAATTAGGGTGGGTGAACATGCACCAAAATGGTTGCAGAAACAAATAACCCGATAAAAGTAGATGATAAACATCCATCATCCTCTATTGCCAGACAAATAATCAAAACAGGCCATAAGATTGATCTTAACTAGGCTTTTGTGGTGTTGTATAAAAGTGTAAAAGGGTGTATACTAAGATTCATTGGAGCCACACGAAAATTCAAACCCACTTTTTGTATTCAAAAACAGTTTGCTCTCTTCTTAAACCTAACCTGGCAATATTAGCTTATTATCCAGAGTGATCAGGTTTCGAATTGTTTTCACATTATTATTATTATCCTTGTCTACACTTACTCTCCATTTCCAGTCTAGTTGACCTTTTATTTTTATATATAAATGTTCTTAACAAGTATATTAGGTGTGATCAGATTGTTCGAAATGTATTGCGTTAATATATCACATAGTTATTTAATTTACTCATTTAAAAACATTGAAACCAACAATTATTAGGATTCAGAATTAAAAAAATAGATATCAGTTTATTGGTATTTAAATGTGACATACAAGTCGTATTAACAATGTTCCATTTTAAGGAAAATACTGCTGAACAATATGAACCATATTTCTTTGAAAATATCTTTATAAACATTCAGTAGGTTCTTGTCGTTCTACTTTCAGCGAAAGATGTGACAAAGTAGTTTAGTTCATACCACGTGTACAACAAAATAATTTATGGTTTTCCGTGAATTTACACTTCTAAAAAGCCTTTAATTTGAAGTGGTATTTAGATGATAAACCGAGATCATTTATCGTTTATTCTTGAAAAGCATTTGAAAAATAGTTTATTATTATTTCTTTCTAATTATCACATGAAAGTCTTTTGGAATTATTTACCGCTCCAACTGCTATTCCATTTTATCATGTCATAGATAGTTACATTCGTCGTCAGAAACTTATTATAAATGCCAAAAAGTGATAGTTTTCATAGATAATAATAATATCTTATTACTAGATAATTGAACTGCTTTGATCAGTTCGTCAAGTCAGAATCAATAATAAAACAAAATCATTGATAAATGAAATTTTATAGACCTGTTTTTGGATGGCAATTATTCAAGCAGAAAACCAACATTAAGTAACTTATTATTCTTTCATGGATAGCCGAATTCCTAACTTAGCACCAGGTTTAATACTGTTGTTTGTATCTTAAAGAGCTACATATATTAAATATTATCAGAAGGGGTTTTGTGGAGATTTAGTATTTTCATAGTTGCAAGCGTGAGTCGATTGAATCTAGACCACCAAAGAAAACCTGGAAGCTGTTTCGTCCTATTGTCGGACTCCTCAGCAGTGCTCATCCACAACCTCGTTTTCTGAGATCCGAACCCAGGACCTATCAGTCTTGCGCCAGAGTACTTAACCGATAGACCACTGAGCCGGCATACGATGGTGTTTATGTCTAACTCCAACCAACAATAGGACAAAACGGCCATCAAGTGCTCCCAGATTTTCCTTGGTGGTCTAGCTTCAATTGACAATGAAAATATATTAAATAATTTTTCATCTTAAAGTTCATTAGAATATTATGGTTTAAGATAAAACTAACAAGAAAAGACTACCTTGAGTAAAAAAGGAAAAATTTTTAAAGATTTATTGAAACTAAAAACAAACCAGTTAGTGTTTTGATTATTACTTGCTTCCATTTACTTGTACAAATACCATGTCTTCGAATTGATACCAAAAGTTTTCCTTCATAAAGTTGACTAAAAGTTCCTAAATAAATTAGAAAAAAACTTTCAATAGATAGATACATTTGAGAATGATTTAAATCATAATACTTTTCACCAGATGAAACTGTAGTGCCGCGATTCGTTAATCGTTTACTTCGATAACCGTTATAATTCTAATCTTAACGGTGCGTAAAATCAGAAGACAAAGGATAGCAGCAACTACAGTTTATTGTCGAATAACTCAGGTTAGAAAGTTAACAACACCTGAGCGAATATCAACGAGCGAGTGAGCGGCAAGCGAGCTAGTGAACAGGCGAATAAGCGAAGGAAGCGAACGAGGAGCAAGCGAGTGAATAGCAAGCAATTACATATGCAATTTATAGTCAAATTTAATAAGGGCACAGCAAAGCAAAACAAAGGCTGATATTTGCGTGCGCACATATATGGGGAGGAGTATGAGTCATCGAATGATATTTAAGCAGTCAACATTTCGGCTAGAGTGTCATGTGCTCTAGTGGTATAGCAGTGCTTTGGATTTACCCTGATCAACTGGAAATTTCATCCCATGGGTTAGATCAAATGTACGTTTATAGCAATATAGACTCTTATTGAAATTCACACTGTACTTTTATTTCAACCTTGAACAATCCAATTACGTTAATTACTTGGAGATTTCCAGCAGATTATATATGTATATGAGAAACAAATTGCATAGACTTTCGTATTTACAAATGTGCTTGTGTGTTAATTTTATAAAATTAATTATTACTGATTATTTCACTTAATACTCTAAAGTAATTAACTGAAGTATCTTGAGAAACAAATCGATAGTAGTACCGACTAGTTAGCTACTCTTCTTCTAAGCACTAAAGTTTGCTATCAGTGAAACAGAGAAAAATTATTGTAGCATAGGCACAATACCGATACTGTATAAGTATTTACGTTTTCCTGTCTGCATCAAAAAATCACCATAGAAGGCAGCAACTGAAACATATCAGAACAGCTGTGTTTTGATTACAGTAATAAATAAAAAGCAAATGTCTGTAAAGTTTAGTAAGATTATCAGTACGGTGTTTGCGTTTAACTGCAATTTATAATTAACCCTATCACTGATTACACTAACCACAACTCCCATTGGTTATTTTAAACACTGTTCAGTCCAAATTAATAGTTTATTCTTGCATATAAGGCTCAAAAGTAAGTACGATATTTCATAATGATCTAGTGGATTCACTTCTAGTTTATTCAATCATTATTAAGAAAAAACATTTGACCTTATTTAAACACTCACACGTGATCTGAATTGATGAAGCCATATTTCTTACAAGCCTATTTTCCAAATTACTTGATGAACGATTGATAGTAATAAGCACATAACTGTTTCATACATAGTACAAAAATATCATTACCTTGTAGAACCACACTGTTGAAGATAATTTTATTCAATGGAACATGCATATCGGCCAGAATGTTTGTTGGATCACGTGCTTTTGGACAGATGGACAATAAAATTTCATCCTGATTACTCGAACAACCTAAAAGACATTATATATCTTAACAACACCTATATACGACTATATTATTTATGAAATTAATATTTAAATTGTAATTCATCACTTTTATTAAATATAACACTTTATTAATGATTCCACCTGAAATTCTCAGAATAACATTATTACATTCTTTTCATGAGAATAGTCTATGTAATTATAGAGCCTAATCGATGTGAGATCAAATATCTCCAATGCATGATAATAAAGGATTCTCAATTTTAAAACACCTTTTTGCTTTACATTGGTGCAAGTATCAGATAGTTACTTAAAGATAATGTTAGGGATTAAAACTTCATTGATGGATTCGTAATTTACTGAGGAATCATGTTTTCTACATAAACTTCATCTATATATGCATATACAGTTCACACAAGTTTACAATTACATCACTGGAAGAATCACTCAAATAAAGATAGAACAAATATTGATGCAGCATCAATATTTGTTCTATCTTTATTTAAATTCATAAAGGGAACTAACTGCATGAGAATCACTCAAGTTTGGTGTAAAGGTATGGCCAATTTTTTACCAATTAAAATTTTAATCCATTCACTTACTCATACCTAGTCATGAAGTTTACGGCAACCAAATATCATTGAGTACACGAAAGTTTAATGTTTCTTTCGTAAATACTTATTACATTTACATCGCAAAATTCAAAGTTATTTAGTACACATAAATGCTGGTGTAGCTGGACGACAAAATATATACACTCCACATGAATAAAAAAATGATACTGTGAATAAATAAAATAAAAAAGAGACAATCATGATTCAATAAGAGGATAAAAGTAAATACCCTAGTGTGGCCGAGAGCGCGAAAAATCGGCCCTCCCTCTCAAAATACCAGCATACATCTATGTGTTTATGGCCACTGTCAGGAAATTTTCAGTAATTGTCTTTACATTGAAGAGCTATTTTTTTATAGGGACGGGAGGGCGAGAAGAGAACAGAAGTGGTGTATAAATGGGTCTCTCGTAGGTAAGTTAATAAGCATCAGACCTAGTGTAGTGAACAAGAACACGAGTGAAGACAGCCCAATGTATTTAAGTACAAACCACAAACTATCTCACTAAAATCTGATAACCATACAGTAAACAGTTAATTTGCAAAATTACAATCAGTTGTCTGAATCTTGACTGTTCCTTCTGCAAATATCAGTTCATCTTCTCTGATTTGATTGTTCATGCATTTTCATACTGATTGTGCTTCATTCCTGTTCTTTCCTTATCGATTTTCTGTCAAAATACATTTTATGTCTGAGCACCACCTTATACTATTTATGTGGATATAAGTAACCTATACCACACTAGAACTATAATTGACAATGGCTTCGAAATGCTGTTGGAAAAAATGAAGCAGTTTGGTGATTTCTTCAATGTATGTCCTATCTACTTCCAACGTATTTTCCTAATTTCCTGTTCAGCTGGAAGATGGTTTGTCCTCTCCCATAAAAAGCTGTTGCTGATAGTATCCGGTCAGTGAATGTTGAGTAATTTGCATAGACAACCGTTTATAAATACTTGTACTTTCTTGATGATGGTTTTAGTAGTTCTCCACGTTTCAGCTTCGTACAGTAGGATTATGTTGACATTCATATTGAAGATTCTTACTTTGAAATTAGTTGACAGTTGTTTTGAGTTCCATATGTACTTTAATTGTAGAAATGAGGTCCTTGCTCTGCCGATCCTCGCCTTTACATCTGCATCCGATCCTCCTCGTTCATCAATGATGCTTCCCAGGTACGTGAATGTTTCCACCTCTTCCATAGTTTCTCCATCAAGTGTTATTGGTTTGGCGTTCTCCATGTTGTATTTGAGAATCTTGCTTTTTCCTTTGCGAATGTTGAGGCCTATTGATGCATAGGCTGCTGCTACATTTGTTGTCTTCTTCTGCATTTGTTAAATTACATCAGAGAGAATCAAAATATTTGGATTCAGATAAATGGGCTTCAATATAATTATTATTGCTTCTACCAGTCACATATGAAGCTATGAATCTGATTGTTTAGTTATAGACAATAAATCTAATGCTAAAACTTTAAAATAATTACAAAACCACAACTTCAGATGCTTCTCATCTACGTTACTTCGGATTACTTAAAATACAACTACGATTGTCTAATATATATGTGGTACATAAGTTAAATTATTGAACAAATGAGTACAAATATCATTTTGCGTGTACTCACTATCCACTGACAGGTAATGTGGCATAAACTGAATAACTATATTCACTTCATAATAAATCATATCATTACATAATAAACATGACTTATGGAAATTACAAATATGTATTGAATTTTATAACAGAAGGTATTGGTGAACGGGATTTGTAAAATTTAAAGCATAAACTAAGGTATTTGAAACTAACTAATTTAGTTTAATATTTTGATGAATATGGTGCACATTTTGTGTCTTCAATGTGATAATGATATTGACTGATATAACACTATTTGTAAAGTACACCGTATCGGTAACATGAATCCACAATTAATAAAATACTGTACATTATAATAAATCCTTAAAAATTATAAAGTTATGCCACTGGTTATTAAAACTGTATTAGGATTTTGGAATAGGATACCAAAATAACGTCGATTTCTACTATCAACATACTTTTTTCACTTGTTTTATTGACAAGATTTAGGATAACCGCAGTAAATAATATTATTTATTGTCTATAGTATGAAAATATTCAAGGCTATCATTATTGACTTTTCAATAGATTTAAGGAAATTTATGTCATCAACGTGGGTTTGTGGAGATTGTTAAATTTTTGATTGAGATCATGAATCGATCAATGTTAGATCACCATTAAAAACTTGGTAGCACTGCATGGCCGTTACGTCCTACTATGGGACTCCTCAACAGTGCATATTCACGATCCCGCACGAGGGGTTTGGAAGCAAAACCTCATGTGTCGCGCATGAACGCTTAATCTCTGGACCACTGAGTCGGTATCCGACGGTGTTAATGTTTAATTTCAATCTATATCAGTTTGATGTATTTAAACTATTTAAATCGTGCATCTCCATTTCTCAAATCCAGTAACTAGTTAGTAAATGAATATTATCTAACTGAAAAATTCATAAGGAATATTCAAATCACTGCGTTTTCACTAGTGAATGTAGAGTTTTATCGCAGAAAAAATGGTAATCAGTTTTGATGGTATTCGCTGAAACATGAGGGATCAAATAATTTATGAATCTGTCGTAGAGATAGTAAACAATGTTCCTAATAAAAAGCTTTTGAACAATTTTCATCTCCAATTATGAAGATGTTCGAATCTCATATCTGTTTCATCGAAAGTAAAAAGCGAATGTTTATTGTCTGAAAGTGTGGACTGTAAAGTTAAGAAACAAAACACCACAACCCCATATTCATAAGAACACTTTTTTTATTAATTTTATGTCTTAAGTAAATGCTAGAGAAAGAATTTTACTAAGCATTTCTTCTAGAATAGGATTGAATTGTAAAATTTTCTCTTTTTAAGTCAAAATATAATACAACTTCATTATTCGCAGTGTTATTCCATTTATAGCATTCCATTTATTGAACAAAAATAGAATAATATCACTACTAAAGAATTATTAA